GTTTTGACTTTAGTATAGTGTGAAACCAATACGCATTTACTAGAACCCATGTTTCTTATTTTGAATTTTGATCTTGTCCCAGACTAGCGATATGCAGTATGATTCTCTTTCAAGATGCTGGGCAGCGGCAGCAAACTGCAGCTCCATCAGGCATTCAGTTAAGAGGGTAAACAGATGATACTCTACAGTGCACTGTGTGTTACCAGCGGTTTTTGGATACTGTGTTCTGAGCACGTTTAAGGTAGGCTAGGCTAAGGTGTGATGTTTGGTAGGTTAGGTGTATTAAATGCATTTTCAATATTTCAATAAATGCATTTTAATATTAAATGCATTATAATATTTTCAACTAACAATGGGTTTATCACAATGTAACACAATCATTAGGGTGAGGAGCATCTATATAGATCAATGGAACAGAACAGAGAATCCAGAAATAGACCCATCCAAGTACAGCCAACTGATTTTTGACAAAGATGCAAATTCAATGGAGGAAAAACAGCCTTTTCAATAAATGGTGCTGAACCAACTGGAACACTGACCTAAACCTCACACCTTATACAAAAATTAATTTAAAGTGGGTCATGGACTTAAATGTAAAACATAAAACTATAAAACTCATTTTTTTTAAACAGGAGAAAATCTTCTGGATCTGAAGCTAGGCAAAGAGTTCTCAAATTTGATACCAACAGCATAATCCACAAAAGAAAAAAAGTTAATAAATTGGACCTCATCAAAATTTAAAATATTTGCTCTGCAAAATATCTTGTTTATAGGGGATGAAAGACAAGCTGCAGACAGGGGGAAATATTTGCATACCACATATCTGACAAAGGACACATATTTAGAATATATAAAGAACTCTCAAAAATCCACAGGTTGCAAAAAATCAATCTAATTATAAAGTAAGCAAAAGACATGAACACACATTTCACCAAAAAGGATACATGGATGGCCAATAAGCACATGAAAAGATGTTAAAAATATAATGCAGTATCACTCCACACCTATCACAATGGCGAAAATAAAAATGTGACACCAAATGCTGGTGAAGATGTGGAGAAACTGAATCACTCATACATTTCTGGTGAGAATAGAAAATGGTACAGCTCCTCTAGAAACTCTTTTTTTTTTTTTTTAAGCTGAGCCATCCTGCCACCTGTTGGCAGCTCAGCGGCAGCTCAGCTTGGGCTGGGCATTGAACTGCTGTTGCTCAGAGCTCAAACTCTTGAGTGAGCTCTTAACCAACTGAGCCACTCGGCGGGCTCGGTACAGCTCCTCTAGAAAACAATTTGTTCATTTCTTTTAATACTAAACATGCAATTGCCATAGACCCAGCAATTGTACACTTGGGCATTTATCACAAAGAAGTAAAAACTTATTTCACACAAAATCCTGTAAACGAATGTGCATAGAAGCTTTATTTATAAAGACAAAATTGGAAACAGGCCCAGATGTTCTACAATGGGTGAACAAACTGTGGTACATCCATACCATGGAACACTACTCAGCAATAAAAAGGAGCAAATTATTGATACATGCAACAACTGGGATTAATTTCAAGATAACTACGCAGAATGAAAAAAGCCAATGGCAAAAGGTTACATGCTGTACAGTTCCAGTTACATAACATTCTCAAAATGACAAAATTATAGAGCTGGAAAACACATCAGTGGTTGCCAAGAGTTAGGGATTGGAGGGAAAGTAAGAAGGAGATGAGAGGGGTTATAAAAAGGCAGCAGGAGGGATCTTGTGGTGATGGGACTGTTTTGTTCTGTATGTTGACTGTAGTGATAGATACATGAACCTACATATGTGTTAAAATTGTATAGTACAGGGGTCGGCAAACTGTGGCTCACAAGCCACATGCGGCTCTTTGGGTACGTTCCATCTCAAAAGTTTGCTGACCCCTGGAAGAGCCAATCCTGTCCCTCACAACAATTTAAAAATTATTCGAGAGCCACAAATATATTTTTACATAATCACCATTATGTGAATAATATCCTTTAAAATTTTTATAAATGAAACTACGATAGTTTTATTTTCATTTTCAGTTTTACTTCAGAGCCATATGTACGTACCTAAAGAGCCACATGTGGCTCCCGAGCCGCAGTTTGCTGACCCCTGGTGGCTCTTCCATCTCAAAAGTTTGCCGACCCCTGGTATAGAACACACACACACACACACACACACACACACACACACCCTATGTCCACGAAATGTACATTAACATCAATAACAGTTGTTAAAAAGCAACTGTAACAACAAACATTCAGGAACCTGTACCACATTTTTCATTATTTACAAAAGGGGATTCAAAAAGATTTTGTGATGTAGTCTACAAGAATTCCAAGGATCTACTACATAGTGATAGTTTTACTTGGCGAGAAAGAAAAATGAGGAAATTTTCTAGAAAACAAAAGCCAATCTCTTAAAATAAAACTGTTAATTCTAATCATTTTTAATATTCATCTTTCTAAAATATATTTCAAATCCCCCTACTTTTTCAAGTGGAGGATACAGAAAATCATTCAACTTTTGCCTGAAGACAATGGTATGAATTACGACCATCAACCAACTGTTATACGTGCTATAATACAATGACGTCCTTAAGGGATCCTCCAGTATAAAAGCCATTTGCCCCTACACTAAATGGTCCAAAGCTTTCTCTCTGCTTGCTGATGCTGTCTATTCCTTCTTTGTTAGTCTCTCAACTAGCACCTAAACGAGCAGCAGGTTCAAGCCCAGAGGGACTTTTGAGATCAACTAGTCCAAGCCCTCGGTGATTTGCCAATGAGACCCAGAGAGGAAATATGTCTTGCTCCATATCACAGAGCAAGTCAAATGGTAAAGGCAGGCCTATAACTCAGGTCTTGGTGTGGTTTTCAGTGTGCCTGCCTCTAAGCAGATCCCCCTTTCCTATTTGGTGCTTTAAACTACTCTGCTATAAAAAACAAACAAAGAAAAAACCAGAAAATAAGATTGTCAAAAACATGCATGAAAGAAGGCTTTTAAGTCAGTGGGTCCTGAGTGATGCTCTCTCATATAAAGTAAATCTTTGTGACAGTTATTTCAGCCTTAGCCCCTTTCACAAAATTCCAAGTTTGTGGCCATGATCCAAAAAGGTTAAGGATGCCACAGTCTGGCTGGGGCAAGTGAAGTATTGCTATTACTGGTGACCCATGTTTGTAAGAGTTTGTTGTAGACAAGTGGATTTTCTGTACATCCCTCCACTGGATGCTCTCAGGGCTCTTCCTGTCTACTGTGACATTAATAACCAACTGCCTTTTCCAAGTAAATGAAGAAATAAAGAACGTTATTTCAGTTCACCTTTTGCTCCACTCCTAATGGGCAATGAGAGGACCATACAGCAGAGTTCTACTTCTCTGGCTTAAAACAAACTTTCTACCATCAATCTTTTATGTTATCACTTTGAGAAGTTCCAAACATGAAACTGAAGATATCAGAAATTGAAAACGAGATAATTTCCTCTGTACTCAAAATGTCAGTTCAGTCATTAGAAACTATAAACCCCAAGATCAGATAAGATCGGGCGCATTCAGGGTGGTATGGCCGAGAACAGACTGGGTGGTGAACACACAGTGTGACATATAGATGATGTATTAGAGTTGTACACCTGAAACCTATGTAACTTTACTAACAATGGTCACCCCAATAAACTTTAATTAAAAAAAGAAACTATAAACCCCAATTGTCATAAAGAGTAGAGAAATCAAAGGCTTTGAAATATCAAAAAGTAGCTCTCAAAGGGCCACAGTGTGACTGTCACCATATTCTATCTAGTCAAGTAACAGTCATAGTCACATATGAAAGTTACCAAATATTTATTCCTGACTTCATTAAAGTATGTTACTTTTCAGTTGAGATCACCTTCTGTTAGAAATCTGCCCACCTGCTCTAAACAGTCAGGGAGGTATACGTTTTGACACAGAATGCCATTTAGCATTATGGAAATTACAATCTATATCTGACATTTCAAAGGCTGTCCTTTTGCAGAAAATTAACTGTGTATTTATGGGAGAAAATGCTAGTTACCTGAAAGATGTGAACATAGGTTAAGAAATAAACCACAAGTTCCCAAATTTTTTTACAGTCCCAGGTCACACTTAACACTGTGCCACAAGGATATGTAAGATGACAGAGCATATCCTGAAGAGTCTCTAGTGTCTTGGATTTTAAGTTTTAATTACTATTAAAATGTCTGACAGTCTGATGTTCTAAACTCCTCGACTCTATAACTACTTAAATGATTCACTGAACTGTGTGACTGTTACCATTCAGCCTATCCACCACATTATTTGAAAAAAATAAAATAAACTATTTCAGATGTTTTAAAAGATGAATTCTCTCAGTCATAAGAAGACACTTAAAACATTACTTCCCACTGCTCTCTCCTGATTTATAATATGTCCCCAAATGTGATGACCACTCAACTTGATTTTTTAATTCAAAATTATAATTTTCCATTATGCTACACTGAATATTATCTAAGAAGAGTGGTGTATATTTTCCATTTTGTTACTTTGAATGTTATCTAAGAAGAGTTTGAAGAACACTGGACTATGATTTAAAAACCCTGGATTTTAATCTTGAGCTCTACCACTATCTAGCTTAGATGTGGGTTGGACATATATCAAACAACGTGATCTTCAGCAAATTAATCTTTCTGAGTTCTACTGAGGATTCTGTAAAAAAAATGCAACTATCTGCTCTATCTTAGCACAGGATTGTTATAAGGATCAACATAAGGTAATGGATTTTAAAAAGACTGGTAAATTATAAGTCATTACTGTAAGATATTATCATTGTTGTCATTGTTGTCTGAACAGAGAAAGCTGAAAGTTACTTTTTTAAATAGGATAACTAGCTTATCAATTAGACGTGTAAAAACCAATGCCATATAAATCCTTACTGTTGGCTTCTGAAGAAGTGTGAATAAGAAGACATTAACTTAGTTTATGCTAAATAAATACTTTTCATACCTGGCATAACAAAACACTTTCACATGTTGAATGGTTTTGTCCTTCCTGCTAAGAGCAATGGCTTCTTCATTTTCAAGGATCTGTTCCTGCCATGCTGGGCTTTCATTCACAATGTCACTATCTTCCTAAACAAAACACAGATGAGACATTTTAATTAATTGAGCGATCTGAACCTCTACTTTGAGAAAATTTATACCTTTCTAAATTCACAATTTTCCTTTCATCCCATCAAAACTCAAAGAAGGATCATTTCAGAGTTACTAAAACAACTCCAGCACAGTGTGCCAACTTCAAAGGAAGGAGAGGAAAACAACATATAAAAATCTATCCTATCAAAAACTAGCGCTGGTTTACAGATTTCTATCAGGACATTTGGTATTTTGATAAAGTCACTTGGACGTGGCCATTTTGACACTGCTTAAAAACTAGGACAACTAAACTAGGACAACTAACCCTCCATCTGCTGAGAATCAAGTATATCTGTTCTACATATTACTTGTTAATAATAAAGTTTTTACATTTTGTTGTCAAAACAACAGGCCCAATATTACTTCATTCTATTTAATTTCAGATCTTTGAAAATCGATCACTAGCCATGTCAAATTTTGAATATATGTAAAAGTATTTTTGAAAAGAACTCAGCCCAATATCACTAAGGACCTCATAAGAATCAACCCCTGGACATTTTATATTCAGAAAGACAATAAAAACAAGAAAATATGATACAGTATGTAAACTCTCACTAAGTGCTGAAAGCGAGCCTTTAAATTTTTCAATAATTCCTACTTGAATTTTATGGAGAAAATGATATGATACAACAATATCTGAATATAGGGGATTTCTGAAGATGTCAAGATATACCTTTTTCTAAATGTCAAGTATCAATTTTTAATCCATTTCAATTTTTAATCTACTTGATGTCCATCTCTCGGAGAAAAATGTTTTAAAATGTATTACATATGCCCAGAGACCTAGTATTGAAATATAACTACCATATCCTTTATGTTAAGTAAATTCACCTCAGAAAATTTGTAAACCTACCGATTTCATAAAGTAGGGCAATAATTATCTTTAAAAGTTTCACTGTCCTGAACTCAATGTTATAAACTGAAGAAAAGTAATGGCAGATAGCTCTTATTATCAAGTGAAATTATTAGAGAGTGTTAAACATCCAAACAAAGTAGAAAGGAGGTGAAGTACAGGAATTCTGAATGTGTAGACATGGGGTTACCAGCCTGAAGAAAGAACTGTGGACCAGTGACAGAGAGTGAGAAAAAAAAGAAAGAAAGAAAGAAAAAACGATGCATTAAAATAAAAGAAACATCTACAAAAATATTTTTATTTGTATAAATTCAACCCATAACCAAACTTTATTTTTTTAAAAACCTTCGATCACCAAAAGTTTTCCATTCACACCACTAGGGGAATTTTTGTTGTTCTGAGAATCTAGACTAAATTTTTCTCACGGAAGTACTAAAGATGCCTCAATATCAGGTGACCCTCATATATATTTCCTAAGGATCAGGTTCAAAAAAGGGTTTTGATCAACATAAATAAATGAATATTTAAGGCATATAGATAAAACATTCAAATGTCTACTAATAACATTTATTTCCTCTATATAGTTTGAATTAGTACATAAAATGCTACTTTATAAATATTTCTTGTTTCCCCACATTCTCATTTCTATGCAACATTATTCAAACTGAATCTTCACTGTATCTTCAACATCAATATCTTTGTCGTTACCAGTGGCACTTCTTGCGTCATGTACACCATTAATTGGTACAACCACAATGCTTAGTGTGGTGCTTAGCACATGGGAAGTGCTGAATCAGTCTTAGCTATATTATTTTAGCTAACTGAATACAATTTTCTAGAGTACATTATCCTCCTTTCTGAACTAACTCTTTTGAGATATGACAGTTTGATTATGTCATTATATGGTATGATGCTCTCAGTAGGAATTTCATTTAAAGCCACATATATAAAATCAGGACAGTTATTTTTAAAATCTGTCTCATAAAAATTGGTAAACTCCATGACATAACCAACTCTTCACATTACTATGCTTTAAATGAGATCTAAAAAGCTTCTTTACAATGATATACAATAGTTGTAGTAGTGAGATTCTAATTTTAGAAAAAATTACTAAATTCCTATTAATTCTTTTTCCTTACTTTTTGTTTTCACTGATTCTGTTGGGAAACTTCTATAATTATGCAAAACCATGAATGACTGAGATCCTTTCAAATGAATGTATCTTCCCCAAAGAGTGTTTTTTTTTTCAAAACATACTAACTGAAAGAGCAACTAGTACTATGTGAGATTTTATAAGAAGTAGAAATATTTTTTCTGAAAGTATATTTTTTGGGGGGGAAAAATCTTGCCTTATATAGAATAATTACAAAATGGTATCAAGTATATATGATTTATCTTCAGCCAACATATCTATGTATATTTAAAAATGATAACTATATTTTGAAGGCATTGAAAAAATATTAGCTGAAATGGTGCCTGCATAATTTTTCTTAAAACAAGTAAATAAAAATGAAGTATCAATTCAACATTACAGATTAAGCTTAAGGTTGTCTTCAATGTAGGGTTATTATGTGCCGTAAAATACAACCTAGTAGATTAAAAAATCAGATAAGAACTTTACCTGGTATTCCCTTAGCCAGGACAACAGTCCTGAAAAGCTAAAACTGGCCCAGTTTCCTCCATAGTAGCTTCTCCTGTAACAAAAAATAAAATTGAAGGGTATAAAAATCTAGTCACCAAACTTCATCGATAAACCACCCTTAACGCTTCAACTCATTTTATTTTTAATATTGCTACCTCAGAGTTCAAAAGCACACATAATTGGGATGTTGAGATTACAGGAAATAGTAGGCTAAAATAAATAGGAGTGTATCTCTCAGATCCCAAAGGTAACTTTTCATTGTATAAGGAGTTAACAATCTCAATATCTATCCCTCTCTCTGTCTCTCTGTCTCTCTCTCTCAAATTGACTACTCTAAATCTAGTAGTAGGCCCTGTGCTATTCTTAGCCTTCAGGGTCAAAAATAAAAGTACCTTCTGGGACAGTTTTTCATATCTAACCTTTGTGGTAAATATAAAAAGAGCAATGTTTCCACTCATAACTAGGTGAACTATTATTCTTCATTCCACAGTCCTGTGAAGATCACTTTTTAGAGAACTCAGAGGTCTCCTAACTAGGATCAGAACCTTGTAGACACTGGACTTCTGATTAACTTCCTTAAGTAGGGGATTTGGGGCAACCAGAACTCTCTAATTCTGCACTACATATTAAGCTTTCCAATCCTTGCAAAACTCTTCATGTTTATTGATTCTTTGTATGATGAACTACAAAATATACTCAATCCCACCTACGATAGCATTCACTCTGGTTCTGGGATGGGCAAGATTCTTGGTTTTGGTTTTGTTTTCATTTTTGTTTCTTTGTACCTTTCTCTAATCAAATAAAAATCTATGAAAGCTCTTTTTCGTAATTAAACAAAACTAAAATATTTACTATGATATCCAAATTTACTCAACAATAATGCTATTGGATATCCTCTCAAAATTCTGTTTCTCCTCGATCAACTGTTGACATGGACCTGAAGAATAGTCAGCATTTAAACTCAAGTATTTTACCAATAATCACTTCTTTGCTCTAACAGAAAAAAATGGTTAAACTGAACACCTGTAAAAGTAGGTCTATTAATATTAGATCAATACTTATAATCTGATAGTTCTCTCAGGGATGATGCAAATTTATACATGGTTCAGAATCTCTAGTGGGCTTTAAAATTTAAATAGAATTACAGCTATTCTAACAATTCTAGATGGCCACCCCTTGCTAACATGTTGGACTCAGGAAGCCTGGAAGCTGTGATCCCTTGGGTCAGAGAGAACAGTGGAAGGAGAAGGTGGGCAACAGCCAGGAGCATAGAGAAGAAGGAAAAAGAGAAAGATGTCAGAATTAGTGGTTTTTCCATAGCTATTTATACCCACTTCTCCCTTGCCTGAGAATGATACACTTCTGCCATCCCTTCACATCCTCGAAATATAACACTCAACAAAACTAGAAAATATCCTGGGTGTTGAAAAAAATTTTTGAACCCTAAAACTACTGTCTTTATATATATTGTTGAAATATTTAGATTTCTTTTAGCCACCATAAGGTCATGAGTGAGAAACTCTAACTACTGGGTGAAAGCTTCAAAATCTAAGCAAATTTTGTAATGGATACATAAATTTATAATAAATATTCATGAGAAATCAGACACTAGGGGTAGACAAGGTTTCTCAGACAGGACACAGAAAGTAATAAAAACTACTGCTAAATTAGAATTAATCAAAATGAAAACCTTCTCCACAAAATCATTTTTTTAAAAAGTGAATGGGCTAGACACAAACTAGGAGGAATATTCACAAAACATATCTGACAAATGATTGGTATCCAGTATATATAAAGAACTCTTTCCACTTAATAAGACAAATATTCAAATTTTAAAATGGGCAAAGGATTTAAATAGATTTCACAAAGGTAGATAGATGCGATCAATGAACGCATGAAAAGATACTGTCAATATCAGTAGTCATTAGATCAGTACATATTAAAATAAGCATTAAAAATGGGCATCATGAGATACCACTACACATCCACCACAATAATTAAAATTAAAAAGACTGACAATACCAGGTGTTGGTACAGATGGCCAGAATGCTCATTTTGGTGGGAGTGTAAAATGGTATACTTTGGGAAAATGTCAGGCAGTTCCTTGCAAAACTAAACATAAAACTTCCCTATGACCCAGTAATTCCATCCCTAGGTATTTACACACAAGAAAATCATATGTTCACACAAGATTTGTAAAAGTTTTTTCATAGTAGCTTTATTCATTAATAGCTTCAAACTGGTAACAATTCAAGTGTCCATCAATAAGAGAATGGACAAATAAGTTGTGGTATTATCCACAGGATGGAATCTATTCACCAATGAAAGGGAATAAACTACTGATACACGCAACAACATAGATGAATCTCAAAAACGTTATGCTAAGTTAAAGAAGCATAATGTTTTACCCAAAAAGAATACATTCTGCATGATCCCATTTGCAGGAAGTTCTAGAACAAGCTAAATTAATTCATCTATGGTGAAAAATATCACAAGAGTAGCTGCCTCTGAGAGTGAAGTGAGGGTAGGACTCGACTTTGAAGGGGCATGAGGAACTTTCCGGAGCAATTGCAATGTTATCTTGATACAATTTTTAGTTACACAAGCGTATGCATTTGAAAAAACTTATTAAATAGTACACTTAAGATCTGTGCCTTTCACTACATGTAATTTTATCTCAAAAAAAAAGAACCATGCATAAATACTGAACTAGTTAATGATATGCATGCTGAAGCATTCCAGACTGAAGGTACTGATGTGTACAACTTACTTTGAAACGCATAAAACAATGAGATGGAAACATGGATGGACAGAAAAATGAATACATGGAAAGCTATATAATACAGCAGTATAGCAAAATGTTAATGGCACAATCTAGGTAGTGGATACATAGGTGTTCACAGTAAAATTTTACCAACTTTTCTGTATGTCTGAAAAATTAGCATAATAAAATGTGTAGAAAATCAAAAGTAACCTGAGTTTTCAAGTATCAAGATACGTGATTTGTCAATTTCCAAGGTATTTTCTGCTATTAAAAAAAACTCTATAAGAAGGGCCATCTTGCTGTTTCTTTCCATTATTAAATGACCTGAGGTCAGTTCATGGTCAAAATCTATTTTTCTCCCCTATACTTAGTCATATGGTCTTTGACAGAGCTAATTGGCTCTAGTATTTTTCCATGCAGCTCCCATTTTCAACTTTTCCTGTTGATGTGCTCTCAACATCAGCATCTGGTGATCTCATCCAATTATGTATGTAAAAGGTGAAACATGGTTTTCATTACTCTGGTCTTTCTGACAAAAGACGGTAACATAATTATTAATATACTCACTATAAAACCAACACAGATTTTGACTAAATTCATTTTGGTATCTGTATAGTTCTAAATATGGTTTGCAATATCCCTTAAAGAGAAAGCCGAAGACTTTAGGTATCAGAATCAATATTACAAAAAAAGAAAAAAAATCAATACAACATTCTAATATGCTCTCTGGAAGTTCTGGAATAGAAATAGTAAAAGTTAAAGAACACCAAATATTTTCTTAAATTTTATCTTTAAAGATATAGCTTCAGAACTCTTGACATTCAGATTCAATTACAAAATACTATTTCCACTGTCTTTAAAATTGTTTCTGTAGGGAATAACAAGGCTAGGTTAACTGGTGTTGTTTTTAAAACCCCACAGAAACATTTTATTTTAAGGATAAAGTGAGAACTTCCTGACTGAGAAAAAGGGGGAATGGAACATTTTCTGCCAATTTTGTGTCACAAATGCCTCTGTATATCAAGTAAAGAGTAGTTTATGATGAAGGATGATGTTTATCTCAATTGCTAGGAACGCTATTTTTTTATATGATAAAAAAGACTTCCATTAAACTAAAGTCTCTCTGTGGAACTAGAAAATGAGTATTCACAGTATTTATACAAAAAAACCCATAAAAATAATGTCTAAAGCCCTCCAAAGTTTCATGATGGGAAAGTGACCTAAAATTTTCAGCTAAAATACTAAAAATCACAAATAGATATTTTTATTTCAAAGACAGAAAAGCCCAATAATTATAATACTGAGGTATAATTCTCCCTTGTGTGAAATGTTTACCTTAAAACTATAGAAAATATGGTTTTAATCTTTATCTAAAGTTTCACAAAGCTTACTGGGAGTACTACCTAAGAGTTTCCAGACACAGAAAGGAAATGAGTTACACAACTGTCTCCACTAACACTAACCAACAAAACAACAGGAAAAAAAAGTATTAAAACAGTAACAAGAGATTCATCATCCTTTACATAGTGTTTAACGTTAAAGCAATATCACTTTGTCTTATTGTCTACTGACAGAAAATACATTACAGGTGGACATAAAGTTGAACTGTATGAGAAGGCTGAGCTTTAAACCTATTAATTAGAGCCTATTACTTAAATCATAATAATCTTCTTTCCATTGTGCATCATAATTACAATTCAGTATTTAATACACAGCAACAGCCATAGCTACATGATGCTAAATTACATCCTGTATTGGGAAATGGATTCTGTAAGCAAGTACAAGAACACTGACAAAAGATAGAGCTACTGACTGACATTCAGGCATATTCATCTGGGAATCGTTTTAATTATTAAGAAGACCAGGGGTTGAAAATGTTTTCAGGCAGGTAACCGATGGGGTCCACGCATGCTCAATGGAAAAGGAAAATAGCAGAGCTCAGCCTCTACACCCCCTATTCTATAGTCACTGCTCCCACAAGTTTCCTAGTAGAGTTGTAATACCACTTTCCACTGACAGCATTTTTAATATTCAAAATTGTTTTTACAACTATTTTCTCATGACAATGGAAGAATGGCAGAGCTGCAACTGAAACTCAGTTCTCCTGAAACCTAATCCTATTGCAACATAAGCAACCCAGCACTTCTAAGCTGGTAAGCATCATTTAGTCCACGTACGTGTATTATCATGGTAGCTGTGGTTCAATGAAGCCAAACAGTTAGATACTGAATAGCACCTGGACCTGATTACTAAACTCACTTTTCCCAAAATGCAGCCTATCAATAGCA